GTCCGGGCGAGCTATCAGTCTTCACTGGCATACGCACTCAGTTGCAATCCAGTGCAAGACGTGGAGCAACACTGGACCTGTATACAGAACGCGATGACCAATTCCGCACAGTCCAGCTGCGGCCTATCTCGATGCCCATTAAAGACTTGGATCTCTGCTCGTTCTCTGGAGCTGTTCGAACGCCGCAAAGATATCCCGGCGAAATCAGATTTCAAAGAATGGTGCCGTTTTGCCAAACGGCTGCTCAAGCAAAGCCTACGCAAGGATCGCGAGACATGGTGGTCTGAGCGTGCTTTAGAGATGGAGACCGCTGCCCTCTCTGGTAACATTCGCAAGCTTTCCCAACTCATTCGGTCCACTGGCCTCAGGATGCCTAGTGTCAGGGAGGCTATTTGCGAGGTATCTGAGTCTTCGATCACCAACCAACAGAAGCGTATGGACCACTGGGCCGAGCACTTTCACTCGCAGTTCAACTGGCCTCCACCATCCATCAGTACATGCAGTACAAATTGTTGTCCACCCTGGCTCGTTACACTGAATTCACCCAGAGAAGAGGAAGTGTGCCTCGAGATTCGACGCTTGAAGCGCTTCAAGGCTGCCGGCTCAGACGGACTTCCTACGGAGCTGTTCAAGTACGGTGGTGTGGCGATCATCCACCAGCCGGTCCCGTTGTTCGCAAAAATCAAGCATGAAGAGAAGTGCCTTCCTCTTGGGTCGAATCAGTTATTGTCCACATTTGCAAGAAGGGCGCTCGCACTTCATGTTCAAATCATCGCGCGATTAGTCTTATTTCGGTTGCCTCCAAGCTAGTGGCATCCATTCTGCTTCGTAGACTATCCCCAATAAGCGGATCATCCTACGGTGAAGTAGCAGAAGCTGGTTCCCGTCCCAGCCGCGGATGCGTGGATCAAATATTCACGCTCCGCCAGTTCCTCGAACATCGCCACATCTACCACAGATTCACTATCATTGCATTCCTAGACATACGTGCCGCTTTTGACTCCGCTGATCGACGTGCTTTATGGCGTTGCTTGCTAAAGAACAGGGTGCCAGAGAAATATACCGCCATCTTACGAGCACTTCATCTTCATACATGCGGCAGAGTGATGGTCTATAGAAAACTTTCCTCGCAATTCGCTGTCAAAAGCGGTGTGCGACAGGGCTGCGCTATATCCCCATTCCTCTCCAAGTGCGCAATCGAAGACGTTCTGTCGAATGCTCTAGAAGGTTTCCAACATTTTTTCCCAGAGCTTCTATGGGGTAAGCGCGCGACCGATTTAGATTATGTTGGTGAAATCGCCTTACTTAGCGACAATCTTCAAAGTATGCAACTCATTCTCGATCGTTTGGCGATCGAAGCATCTAAGCATGGCATGAGCTTCGCCCAATCGAAGTGTAAAATACTGCTCAAGGATTGGCTTTCACCTGCTTCCGTGATCACTCTTGAAGGTGCACAACTTGAACGAGTAGATAGTTTCGTCTACCTGGTGAGCTGGGTTTCTGCTGACGGCACTATCAGCAAAGAAGTTTCTCTTTGCATCGCTAAATCCCGATTAGCATTTACCAATCTGAGGCAGTTGTGGCATCGTCGCGACGTCTCATTCCCGCTAAAGGGTCGTGTTTGCAGTGTTGTTGTATGGGTGCGAGTCCTGGCCGATTCGCGTGGAAGACATGCGTCGTCTTTCTGCCTTCGATGCCGGTTGCTTAAGGAGGATCGCTCGTGTTTGGTGGCAACATCGAGTTAATAGTAATGAGGTTCGACGTCACATCTTGGGGAATGCAAGTATTTCCTTCAACAAACTGGTTTTGTTGCGCCAGTTAAGATGGCTCGGTCACGTCCTACGCATGACATCTGAGTGTCTACCGCGTCGCGCTCTATTCGCTCGTCAAGGACCTGGCTGGAGGCAACCGCGTGGTGGTCAGCCCTCCCGTTGCCGACAGAACATGAAATCGTTGGCGCCGTGTCTAGCCTCTGTTGGACCCGTACGTCTTCTAGGATGGGGACCCAAAAATGATGGGTGCAAATGGCTTAACACTCTTGATGACATGGCCCATAACCGGAATCAGTAGAAGAAATGTGTACAGAATTGCATTGATTCACATGTTTAACACTTAAAACATTGAAAAGGACAAAAAGGAGAGGAATCGGCTTGTGAAAAACAAACTAAAAACTTTTTGTTCTACTGTTTGTCAACATGTTCCTATCTTCCCGGGCATAGTAGCTAAAGTGCGTTGGTCACCATCAACTAGCATGCCGCGATGATTATGACGCAGTGACTTCCCCTTATCTGCTAGTCTCCATGGCTTTATTGGCTGTATGTCTAGTTGATAGACTGTTGAGACTACATAGATACATACATTCGTAAATCTAGCTGGCTTGCCGAACAACCTCCTCGTGGTGCCAGCTGGGTGGTTCGGGAATTTCCCGTTCCAGCAAATGGTTCGGCGGCAGTGTTCCAGGACGTGGTGGGTTTTCGCCTGGCAAGCGTTCTCCCTATAAAAAGCCACATATGTCCGTTTAACAACACTGTGACGTGGCGGACGTGACTCGCCACTAAATAAAGTCACTGCCCCTTGCTTCAACCTGGCGAAGCATTGTATTCCAGCAGCCTTATGCTGTACTTCTGGAAAGCATTGGGCCCCTGTTTGACAAAGGAACAAACGAAAGGCGTATGAACTGAGCAATCAGTCACCGGCTCCCAATGGGCGCGATTCCCTGAATTCGCTCCGCTGCCTTGCGGGCAGGCTATTCAGCCAAAGGCTCGGGGTGGTGTCCCCTAAGTCAACACCCTACTTCGGCTTGGGCAACCGGGTAGTATCTCGCCCTCTGAGGAAACCATGGACATTGTTGTGTTGTGTTTTATTGTACTGTTTCTGTACTTTCGTTTGAATCCCATGGTTTCTGATGGCATTATGTCTGTTAGCAGACTTTTGCAAATATATATATATATATATATATATATATACATATATAAATCTATGTATTGCTCGATTACGCTGAACCGGTGCAAATTTACTGTTCATTCCTTAGGTGTTGATGAGACAAAGAAGGAACTGGATAATGCAATTTCGACCCTATCGCCTCAGTAAGCGACCTGTGGCACCTCATTAAAACAGGTTGTCTCTGCGGCCGAGGAAACTGCTGGGCGCGTAAGTGCCAGTTCACATGAACCCATTCTAGTTGATTGTCTGTAACATTTCTGTTGAATGAAACCACAACAGTTCAGATGTTCCAGTCATCCTGTGGGTGCGAAAAACGCAACCAGCCCGAATACCATTTGAATTAAGCGCTGCGACGACGCTACGTTGCACGCGTCTAGGAAAACGAAACCAGACTAAGGAAAATGGGCAGTAAAGCAATTGCGGGCTGTTGATTAGTCTGTTTAAAATTATGGACACGTCTTGATGAATCCTGTACGCCCACTGTCAGCATCAGCTGCAAGTCTAAGAGAAACGCCCTTCAAGATGTCCTAGAAGTTTACAGGGGAAAAGAAAGATGAATGAACACTGGCGGCTTATATGGTTGTCAAGGGTGTCCTTCGATTGCCAATTTCGAGAAGGCTGTCTGAATCGATGGTTCCAAACGGAAATGTTTGACTCAACAGTACGATCCATAATCAGGTTGGATAGATTGGCTTACACCAAAGGAGAGTTACTCATAGCCATTGATTGACTAACGTCGTTGACCTAGACTTTACCTAACAGACGCAAGCAGAGCTTAATTCTGGAATCGAGTGAGAATTGATAGGCCAGCAAATACCAGCCCGCGTCAAAGGAATCGAACAATCCCGTTAATATGGTTGACCCGTGGAGTGGAACTCACTCACACTGGCTGAAAACCAGACGCGGAATAGCGGGCGACCTTGACCTCCTATACTAGCATGTTTCGGTTACCAATAAATCGAGTTAACCTACGCTGTAGAGACACACTGTCTGTCTACCGAGTTCTGGCCTTTTGTATTCCTCCGGTTGACTGGGCGCGTGACTGAGAAATCTCATAGAGCAGCTAGCAGCAGTACAACAGTTATCAGTAGCAGAGAGAAAGAAGAAGCGTTATAACATAACCACTGGTCTACTTGTAGCGTTATAGTAGCAGCCGTCTACATATTATTCGTGAAAATGCAGTGACACTACAAGAGAAATAATCTCCTGAGACATAGGGATGGTAAGCGGTGCAATCCACTCAACTACAGTGATATCGGATTCGATTGTGCACTCCTCTGCTATATACTGAGGATAAGCAAAATTATGTAGACTACGACGAGAGGGAGCAATGGGATGAACTATGGTACACAAACGACTCACACTGTCCTCTGTACGGACAGTGACCTGCATGGCAGGGGAGGATGGGTCGGGCTACAACGCAGTTAGATGAAATCAAATGGCGATGAACCAAACAAACTCACAAATTATTGATTCTCCTCGCCTTTCAAAAGTTGGGTGTGCGTAGCTAACTGCATGTTGAAGGCATGTGAAATCGTCCCTAAACTGGATTACTTGCATGACCGTATCCATCATGATCAGGGCGATGTATTGGAAAAGTCGAGTGATAACGCGGAATGTGCAGATAGTGAGGATGTTGGCACGATGGTTTCGCTATTCTCGACAGAGAGGCACAAAAGTGCAATTTTAGATAACTATGATCCAAGGCAATTCAATGTTCGGGGGCACAGCTGACAAAATGGACTGCATCCGTTTGTTACAAATGAGTGGATCGTCGTAAAGGCTCGCCGGTGGTTTTGCGCTACCGTGCTTGTTAGAGCGAAAACAGAAATTAAAGGGCTACCAGTTGTTTAAGTGCGTTATCATGTTTGTATTATCACCTGTGCAGTTAGTGGAAAATAATAGGAGAAGACGGTTCGACAATGAACTTGATGGTGAATAGGATGAACTTGATAGCGAGTATCAGAAAAAAATGGAAGGAACCATGTAGGTCAAATGAGTAAAAGCCAAGATGAGATGCTCAAAATATTAAGTAAATTACAAACAATGTCCCTTACTAGAGGTTTGCTGGGTGGAATAGGCTTCTTTAGTAGTAGCGGGTGTCGAACAAGGGGACTGGTTCACCATACCGTCGATGTCACTAGGGGTCTTGTACTGTAAAACTGAAGAAAAAGATAAAAACAACGTACAATCTTATCATACTTCCAAAGAGCGTTTCAAGTGCGCGAACTTTTTCCTTCAGTAAACTATCTTTTTGCCGCAGACAGGCGTTTTCCTTCTGCAACGCTTGCTCGGCACTCTCTAGAGCGCTCGCTGAAGCCAATGTTTTCAAATATTCTATTTTAGATCGTAAAGCACCAATACGTGATGCTAGATGCATTCGTTCGGACTCCTATGGGAAAAAGTAGAAAAAAGAAGATACAGTACATGAAATTATTTGTATGGTAGACCTGTTGCAATAAATCAATCGTGCTTCAAACACGAATGTGTAACAGATGCAGTCGCCACAGAGCGCGCAACTATGGTTAGAGAAAGAAATATGATGGGTGGAAGGAAACAGCCCTGTCATCAAGAGGCAAAAGAAAGGAGAGTAGCTGATCATTTTGCAACGATAATTAATAGATCTAAAGCATATATCAACGAACGAAGCCACTCCGAAGAGGTTGTTTGTGGTAGATCGCGCTGTCTAGGAATCAAATAAACGTAAAACACCATCTGCATACTACAGATCAACCGGTATCTCTATGGGATGATATTAATAACTGTGTAGTTGGGAGACAATAAATGACTTCAGATGAAATCGAGAAGAATTACATCTGTCGTTCTATGGCGTACGATAAAACGCCGCACATTGTAAGGTAGTTTCAGATAATTTTGTGAGGGGCATAAAATACCCACATACCTCACGATAACACGCTTCTGAGCAAGCATGAAATTATCAACTCATTCTAAAGCGCTTCAAAAATGGGATATGCCAATTACGATAGGTCTGTGGTGCGCGTGAAGATGCGCTAGCACCTGTTGCAGAGGCTAGCAGTGTGTGAGGCTAGCAGTACTTAAAAGGTCGAGTACTTGCTTGGGCAACCCCCACCCCAGAGTCCCGTTCCACGGTGCGGTAGCAGATGAAAATACCACTAAGTGTTCCCTTTTACCAGGAGAACACCAATGTGAAGGGCGAAAAGATGCTGACTACTTCCCTAAGTATTCCACGTTGGCTGGCAGTCATCCTTCCGCATACGCAATTGCGGTTGAGCCAGTTATTCAAAGGCTCGTGAATTCTTTAAACGGTGCAAGTAATTAAGTCGACAATACAAAATATTTTGACTGAGTTTCAAAGTACATACTGGGATAGGTCCCATAAGTTCACTGGCCGTGATTAGAACTGCTACATGAGCACATACCGGTTCATAGTGGAAAGTGAACTAGACCGCTCCTGAAATTGCCCAGTCAAACGAGTCACATGGGATGTTTGATAAGGGAAAAGAGTACTGATGTAAGCTTAGCTCACGCAACGCCACTTACCCACACTGTCTCTCTAAGAACGCCAAAATCCATTCCAAACCTTGAACAAAGACGCCGTAGGATTTTAGTTTAAACAGTAGACGACAGCGTGGAATGGCGTCAAAGGTCTCAGAAACGTCAATGAACAAAACATCCACCGCCTGTTCCAAATCTGCAGCCTCAGTCCAGCATTCTCGGATCACCAACAAGTTGGTTAAACAAGAGTAACCTCTGTGGAAACCATGTTGGGATGGGGTGAACTTAAGCACGTGCTTTTCGAGAGTATCTCTTACCAGCTTCACTAATAACTTGACCAATACGCTTGTCAGGCTAACTGGCCTGTAATTCTCAGGGACTTGCTTATCGCCCTTTATGAAAACAAGACAAACGATGGCCTCTCTTCAGTCGGTAAGAAGAGAGCAGCTACGAAGAGATTTCTCAAAAAGATATGACCGACTCACACAGCACATTGACCAGCTCATACAAAAGCTTGGGATGGATGGCGTAAATCCCGACAGCTTTGGTGGAATTTAGTTCACACAGCAGCGTGAGTATCTGAGATTCCGAGATGGAAACATCTGTCTGGAAAGAGGCCACTGGAATCGTTGCTGTTATATCAAAATTCGGTAACGGAGACTCGCGAACAAACGACTTCGCATGCTGTTCTGCAAGTAAACAGGTCGTGTCCTGATCGGTTGATGTTGTTGTGCCGTCAAGCCAAAACAGCCCGAGGATAGACAAATTTGCATTGGACCGCCGTTTGACATAACAAAAAAGCCGTTTTAGGTTAGTTGGTGCGGAGCGGGCCAGCTTCACTTTATAGCTCAGACGTGCTGCTTGCAGATGCTGTTTACAGGCATTTTGTCCCTTTCGGTATCGATGATACGTACTTCCCGATGGGGCGGATGCGTAAGTCCTCCAACATTTAGCCAACTTAGCATAATATGCGCCTCAGAGTTAAACCATGGCGGGTTTTGCCTTCGTTTCATTCCGCACTGAGATTGCGATATGGAGAAAAGTTTTTACGACGAAAGAACTTGAATTTGTCTCACGTGATCTGAACCGTATCAGTCGCCGATATGGCACAGGGGGGGGGGACTTGAAGCCATGTCTTTCATGGCTTGAAAAGCTGCGCGCCAGATATTTGGGCTTCGGTTTTACATCGTTAATGACCCTGACTTACGACACAACTGAATACTAGGCACATGTGATCACTAGCGCCCAAGGGGGAATTGTAAACCGAATCTCTTACAAAGTTCACAGAATTGGCTAAGACGAGGTCTAAGGGGGGTTTCGGCCCTCCGTGAACCCAGTGGGTCTTTGTAAAAATTGATAAAGGGATGCTTGTAAGGAAAGGTCAAGGATGTCAATGGAAAAACATTCTGTCGCTGCTTCGCAAATTTAATTTCGCTAAGTAACCATAGGAGCATTAAAATCACCCATAAGCAGGCATCTATTCGCTGTATGAATGCGAATGGAAGCAATAAGCCGGCTTAACGCACTTTCAGGGCTCTGTATACCAGCACAATTTTGAATTGTGTGAGGAAGGTACACACGTCCATCGAAGGAGCCTCGGCAGTTATATTCTGCGAGTTGAGCATATGGGTTCGCAAAATAGTTAAGGTGGATTTGACGCACAGAACAACTCCACCTCCGTGACTGTCCAGAATGTCGGAGAACAACCAGGTATCAGTGAAGGCAAGTACGGCTGACCGAGAGCGATTTACAAGAGTGCCGATCTCGCACTCAGACTATGCACGTTGCTGATGACTAATTTAAGGAAACATGGATCGGAAGCTATCAGAACGGGCTCCAGAAGAGCAAAACTGGACCTCCGGCTAACCATCCGAAAACCCCAAACTAAGGTCCCTTTTCCCCCGCTTCACCACACGTCTTGAGGTTCTGATGGCGCGCTTTAATTTCAATCTATCAGCCAAAGGGAGATCAGGTTGAATACTAACCCAAGAACCCTTGAGTTTAAAAGCGTAAGGCAGAAGCGCTTTACGCTCATCCCGCATTGAAAGAACAACTCTCAGTAAACGGCGTCTAATGTATGAGAAATACATTGGAAAGGTACCAGGCTTAGTGAGTTCTCATATGGTTACGCCAGGGAACCCAGAAGGTAGTAGTTTAGAAACCCAAATATAAATCATTGAAGATCATTAAGCATCCGATCCTTTGGAAGAGCAGCAGTTGACATCGTGACATTCCTAAAAATGATACTACTACCAGTCTAAAAATCATTGCGACGAGGAGTGCCTACTTCACTCGCCACAATCGCAGGAGCCTGCAAATGGGTGGCTGACTGCTTGGACGCAATAGCTGCGTAAGAAGATAAATGCGGCGGAGACACCGGATGGCGCTGCAGTCAACATGCCTGCGTGACATTCTGTGCGTTCCGTAGTACTCGCAAACGTACAGCATTCCTCCTCCCGCGCCGCCAACTTTTCGCAAGCAAAGGGGCCAGAAACTCCACAACACTAGCATTGGAATCATAAAAACCCACCGAATGGTTAATGCCAACTTCTTCGTTAGCCGTAGTAGCAGCAGCAGTAATCTCAACAGTCTATCAACTAGACAAAGAGCCAACATAAAACCATGGAGAGCAACGCATAAGCAAGTCGTCGCGTCATAATCATCGCGGCATGCTAGTTGAAGGTGACCAACGCACTTTAGCTACTATGCCCGGGAAGATAGGAACATGTTGACAAAAAGTAGAACAAAAAGTTTTTAGTTTGTTTTTCACAAGCCGATTCTTCTCTTTTTTGTCCTTTTCAATGTTTTAAGTGTTAAACATGTGAATCAATGCAATTCTGTACACATTTATTCTACTGATTCCGGTTACGGATCATGTCATCAAGAGTGTTAAGCCATTCGCACCCATCATTTTTGGGTCCCCATCCTAGAAGACGTACGGGTCCAACAGAGGCTAGACACGGCGCCAATGATTTCATGTTCTGTCGGCAACGGGAGGGCTGACCACCATGCGGTTGCCTCCAGCCAGGTCCTTGACGAGCGAATAGAACGCGACGCGGTAGACACTCAGATGTCATGCGTACGACGTGACCGAGCCATCTTAACTGGCGCAACAAAACCAGTTCGTTGAAGGAAATACTTGCATTCCCCAAGATGTGACGTCGAACCTCATTACTATTAACTCGATGTTGCCACCAAACACGAGCGATCCTCCTTAAGCAACCGGCATCGAAGGCAGAAAGACGACGCATGTCTTCCACGCGAATCGGCCAGGACTCGCACCCATACAACAATACTGAACGAACTGATGCGCTATAAATGCGGCCCTTAGGTGAGAATGAGACGTCACGACGACGCCACAAGTGCCTCAGATTGACAAATGCTGATCGAGCTTTAGCGATACGAAGAGAAACTTCTTTGTTGATAGTGCCGTCAGCAGAAATACAGCTCCCAAAATAGACGAAACTATCCACTTGTTCAAGTTGTGCACGTACGAGAGTGAGCACGGGAGCAGGTGAAAGCCAATCCTTGAGCAATACTTTACACTTCGATGGGACGAAGCTCATGCCGTACTTAGATGTTACAACTGCCATACGATCCAGAATGAGTTGCATACTTTGAGGACCATCACCAAATAAGGCGATATCATCAGCATAATCTAAGTCAGTCGCGCGCTCATCCAGTAGTAGAGCATTCCACAGAACGTCTTCGATTGCGAAGTTGAAGAAAAATGGCGACATAGGGCAGCCCTGTCGCACACCGCTTTTGACAGCGAATTGCGAGGAAAGCTTTCCATAGACCTTCACTCTGCCGGATGTATGCAGGTAAAGTGCTTGTAAGATGGCGGTATCTTTCTCCGGCACTCCCCTCTTTAGCAGGCAACGCCATAAAGCAGGTCGATCGTCACATCGCCGTA